TGATTTAAATGTCACACCTGAACGCTCACATCCTTTTAATTATGTTTGAAATTATGAACATATATATATATATATATATGAATTAAGCTTTTTATTCGTCTTCTGTAGAAATATAAATAGATGGCTTTTTGCCTCCACCTCCACATTGCAAGTGTTAGCAGTAAGTGTGAGGGCTTATCTCATTAAAAATCTGGTTTCGATACCCACAGTGAGTAGAACACAGACAACCTGTTGTGTAACTTGGTGTTTATTAACAAACAAACAAACTGGCTGTACACCAGATATATGGCTCTTTATTTCCAGGGGTTAAAAAAAAAGAAAAATATTGAAAAATCTTGTTTGAAGTCTATTCTTTCACGGTCGCGGGGGTCAGAAATTTTGAACTACCACGAAGAAAAAATTAATTTCTGGAAGTTTACCGGTTTCTAGTGTATTATTACGACATCAGCCTTTCTGTTTCTATAAAAATACGCCTGTCCCTTGAGAGCATTGTCTATAAACGTGGAGGTGAAAAAGTTATGAAGCTGATATTCGAAGATCTGTGGTAGATTTGTAAATTATCGGAATGTTTGGTTATAACGTTCATCGGGTAATTCAATATCAACTTGAATTCATACTTCTCAGGACTATTGAAATAACTTAGAAATGTGTGCCCGAAATCCACCAGTTCATCTAACTTACTCGGTTTAATTCCACCTTGAGGACCTTGCTCTGAAAAATATAAGAACTGGGAACTGTACTGAAAAAAGATCGGCCACCATTTCACTACACGTGGAGAATTTCGGCATTACCACATAGCAGCTTGTAAACATTCGTTTTAATATTTTGATTTATTAAGCTTTATGTGTTCTTCAGAAACTACATTTATAGCTTTTGTATGTCAGTTAGAGTTTGAAACAGTTATGCTAATTAGTAGAGCAAATGGTGGTCTGGAATCAGAGGTCAAAAGATCAAGGTGCTAATTAGTAGAGCAAATGGTGGTCTGGAATCAGAGGTCAAAAGATCAAGGTGCTAATTAGTAGAGCAAATGATGGTCTGGAATCAGAGGTCAAAAAATCAAGGTGCTAATTAGTAGAGCAAGTGGTGGTCTGGAATCAGAGGTCAAAAGATCAAGGTGCTAATTAGTAGAGGAAATGGTGGTCTGGAATCAGAGGTCAAAAGATCAAGGTGCTAATTAGTAGAGCAAATGGTGGTCTGGAATCAGAGGTCAAAAGATCAAGGTGCTAATTAGTAGAGCAAATGGTGGTCTGGAATCAGAGGTCAAAAGATCAAGGAACTGGCTGTGATCTACCAAGTCTTAATATTTTAACATTACTTAATGTAGTCCACACAATAAAAGGTTTTGTTTATGAAAAGTTTTGATTTATAATGCGTAGACCATTATTATGTTACATCCCTGCTGGTACAATGGCAGATGTGGTGTGGTTAACATATTACGTATTTACTTTCACTCATAATTTGTTGGAATTTGTAGCAGTCTTGAAATGGAGAGCATAATAAGATCAGGGAACTAGAGGTGGTCAAGTTTAACACACGTAGTTGTGGTCTTGAAATGAACTTTGGTTGTCAAGGTTGGTAATTTTTGTCATCCGCGAGAATACAAAATGTACAAATTTTGTAAATCGCCCCCACACAATTTGGGGTCACAAACAGGTTATCATGATCCTTTTCTGTACCCCAAAAAAGGTAAACATTATCTGCACGTAAACGTTTTTTGTTTTTGGTGGTGGTGGGGAGGGGGGATAAACTTAGTTTGAAAATACAAACTTCATGAGTGATTCCTTTTGAGGAAATAAAATACAAAATCATTTTTTCTCTATCTCTGGTCCTACTTTGGAGTCACTTTCCAAAAATCGTAAACTATAATTTTCACGTGGCAATACAACATACTTAGTTTTGTTTAACCTTTTTTTTCTACTATTTTTTTTTGTATCCATTTTTAGTGATGATACTTCACTGTAGTTTATACAAAATTGAAATGGAATGAAGAATAGAGCTTAAAATTCTGAAGCAAGACCAATTTTGTAGAGTTGTGACAGTTGACGAAGAGGAATCACTCTGTTGTTCAGTATATATTTAAAGCTTGATGTTAAAACGACCTACTGACAATGACAGTGGGATTTTTTTTTTTTTGCGTTTTACCATAAATTATTGTCAGAAAGGGACTGTTGTTAACTATGAAACTTTTTTTTTATCGTATTAATAACAGCAGGAAAAGGGGTGACCTTTTCTTGCAAATAAAAATATCTACCTGTGCTCCTTTACGTCATCCTTGTCACCAAAGACGTTCTCCCATTCAACTATGGAGATGTTACAATATGATGGTCAATTCCACTATACTCTGGTATAAGAATACTCTAAGAATTAACGGCTTGTAGTGTTGACTAGTTGCCTTCCCTCTAGTCTTCTGCTAAGTTATAGCTAATGCAAAGAGCCCTCTAGTAGATTTTTGTGAAATTCAACATTAAATTCTCTAAAATAATTGGTACCAGTGCAGTTACCCCCCCCCCCCCCCCAAATGTTTGTCAGCCTCCTGGTGAAATAGCTTGGATTCATCACATTGTAAATCATTCGTTACTGACTAGCACATAATGAATGATAACAGTATTGTTGACTGCTAAATCTGTTTCTCTGATAATGTGTAACGGTTTTTGTTCTGTTTTAATAAATATACTCAAGTGGCTGAAAGTTAAATTCCTGGGTACCTTAGCTATGGAAAATGTTTAAAAGTGACATGACTTGTGTAGAAGTAGACGAGTTTTATAAACCAACTGATATTTTAATAAGTTTATTATGCACAACCTGCTAACGTGATACATAGATTGAGTATAACACAAACCAGACGGACATCTCCATGATTTAGCTCTTTAAAAGACGAGGATTACAAAATATAAGCTCCAAGCACGTGAACTATAGTGCACTTTAAAATACAGTGGATGTACAAGGTGATAAATATTAGGTAGCATCTTTGATGTGGTCCTGCCATTATTAGCCATAGATTATGATAGTACGTCGCAAGACAGTATTGGAATTACGACCGAAAATGTCGTTAACAGTGAGAATACATTGTAATCTTTATAAGTAGAAACGTAATAAAAGTATATTTAATTAGTTATACTGATTACCGGATTGTTTTTAAGTTTCATTCTTTATATAACTAACTAGCTTGCTCTTATCGGAAGTTATTATTTTATGGGAAAACTGAGTTATCTTTTAAGTTGTTTTTCTTTTAATTAAACAATATAAAAAGTTAAATCAAATAAAAAAAGATGTAAACAGTTTCTGGACCATCTTATTTTCTTTTTAATTTTTTTGGTTATCAAAAAGATTGAAATCTCGTGACTTTAGCTGTTATAAACGATATTTTTTTTCATATAACAATATAATTTTGAGGTATTTGATATACCACCACTTCTTAATGTAGTACATTTAGTTGACTTTTTTCTCTTCTGTCATGGAAGGTCTTACTTTTAGACGTTGTTTCAATGAATGAACCTATAAATTTGAACTTCACTCGAAAGCCATGAAAATTACAAAAATAATTATCATTTTTCGAACCACTTTTAGATTTTTTTTTTTATGCAAGAATCCTGCCATCTGGTGTTGAATAAGTAAATCTAAAGCCATAAAACATCTAATCCATTCTATATTCCTTTACTAAATAGCTTTTTACAGCGTTAAGAATATATAGCACAACGTTGAAACAGGTTATATTCTCCCACACGCATAAATATGTTAAAAGTAAATAAGACTTGTCATAAAATATATATATATATCGAGTATTAATAAAATTATGAGACTATTAAATACACAGGTCTAAGTTGTTACAAATTAAAACGGGTGTAATTTTTGATTTTATATTTTATAAATTTGTATACGTTTTCAAATAAAGGTAGATAATACATGAAAAAACAAATCGTTAACGTGTACAATTCACATCAACCAAAGTTTACTATAAAAAAAAATATATATATATATATATTAATCACGTTAGCGCAGGTGAGCAGGCCCGTTACCTTTCTTGGGTTACTGTGTCATTGTTGTACTTGAATCACTCTGGAGGTTGTATGATGACACTGGCTGTCGTGTCAGACAGTGAACCACGTCTGGCGCAACTAGGCCTAAGGTATTTATTACGTCACTAGAAGAGTTATTCTGCTGAAGTCGGTTACGGGTAGATGTCACTGTCGTAGCTTGATGGGTTCACAACAGCACTTCCTAATCTTAAAATGAGTTTGAGGAGAAATTTTAAACGTATTTTATATCTTAACATTTATATTTGTAGCACTTGCCCATTTTTGTTGACAAAGCAGCGGTTTCGAAGACCTCCATTTTGCTCCTTATCTTCTCAGGCATGTATTTTGCTAAAATGCTAGAAATAATATATAAAAAAAAAAAAAATGTTGTTAATTTCTCGGTACAATTTGATGGCAAATTGTATTACTTCACATTAGAAGCTTTATCGTAGTGTTCAGTGTTTGTTAGGAAATTTTGATATTACATCTGTCGAAAAGTGGTCTCGAATTCTTCGAATAAAACACGAAATTATGTTCACGTGTAAGACAATTATCGTGTGGCATCCCTCTATATCAGCATGTTCAAAAATATTGTAGAGTGGAATTAAATGAGAATATACGACGTACAGATAAGTCGAGCCATACAACACCTGCCATTGTTTTTTAATGCTTCTGTTGGCTGTTGTCGAACTTTATGTTTTATGATGATAATTGTTGTTATTAATACATTAAGTTCTTTTATTTCCTACGATTTTTCGGATATCTTCTGTAAAAATTACTACCGAAAACTAAAATAAAATGTAATTCTTGTTAAAAGTGTTTTAAAGATTTGCCAATAAAACTCCCCCTGGTGGATCAATAGTAAGTTTACAGACTTACAACTCTCATATCCTTGGTTCGATTCCTTGTGATGAACGAAGTGTAGAAAGCCCGTTGTGTAGCTTTCAGATAAAACGAAACACACTAATAAAAGCACTAGGTTTTGAAACAGCCATTAATCTCAAAATGAGTGTATGGTGTGCTTGTCTCTTATAGTCATGTTCTGTATTGAATAATAATGTGCTACTGCCTACAATAAAAATACAATGCATGTTGCTTATATAACAAATGATTAGATGAATGGTTAAGTTGCAAACAGTAAGGTCAATAACGATACAAATTCACAACTATTGTGCTACCATCTAGTGGAAATAATATGTACCTCGCGGTCTTTCTACATCTTTGAATGAACCTAGACATTTTAAACTTAGAAATGTGTATTTTAGAACCAACTTTAATGACTGGGAATATTATATCTGACTGTGTGTGTTTCGAGACCCCTACAGTAACATATATATGTATACACACGTAGCTTAACGTCCGGAAAGGTAAAGGTTATCGAACGACACGCTTTAATATTATAGGCAGTATTACAAGAAATTTGACATTAATATCAGGAAATATAATAATTAAACGATACCTAACATTTGGCTTGTGCAGATAAGGAACTATTAGTGGAAAGGAAAACAAAAGGGTGTGGATGATAAACTTAAGGAGGTTATAGTTATAGGGGTTTCTTTGACAAGGCATGTAGATAGGATAGTCTGTAGGGAGAAAATAATTAGAATATGCTACCCAGGAGTACAGGTGGAGGATATAACTGACAGATCAGGAGATATAATATAGAGGTCTAGCAATGATGCAATTTTATGTTGTGGACGTAGAGGCTAAGGATGTAGGAAAGGGTAGGTCAGAAGGGCCAATTAATAAGTACAAGGGGTTGATAAAAGTATTTAAAGAAAATGGCCATAACTTAATTGTGTCAAGGATACTACCGAGAATTAATTGTGAGGTTGAAATTATAAGTATGTCACTAGGGCTGAATGCTAGGCTTAGGTTAATGTATAGGGATGAGCAGGTTGGTTGGTTAGAGTTGTGGCATCAGTTTAGTTAGAGAAGGGAGCTTTTTTGGAATGGATGGTTTACATTGAAATATGATACAGGCTGGCTTGTTTGCAAGCGCTATTAACTTAGCTGTAAAGGAATATTTAAACTAGGACTAAACAGTGGTGAGAACCAGGATAAAATAAATGAAAAAAAATAAGATGTAGAGAAAGGTTTAGTATAGGAAATGAGTATATAAGTAGTTATAAGGATAGGCTTAATTGTTGCTATTGTAATACTAGAAGTATAAGAAATAAAATAGATGACTTTAGAGCACTGGTAGGAATGGAGGATTTTGATGTAATGGGAATAACTGAAACATGGTTAAATTTAGATTATTTTAATAACAGAAATTTCTTTGAAATACAGGGTTACAGGCTATTTAATAGGGATAGAATACCAAAGAGAGGAGGAAGAGTGGCTTTATATGTAAAATGTGAGTTACATCCTGTTGAAGTTGAAGATATAATTTCGGGTTCTGTTCGCGGATATGAAGGGAAAAGGCTTTTAGTGGGAATTTGTTACATACCACTAGGTAATACTGATATAAGTATTGAGAAACTTTACAGTGAGATTAAAATTTCAGCTGGTAATGAGACCATAATTATGGGCGATTTTAATTTCAGGTCTAAATAGATTGGGAAATGTTAGAGTCAAATCACGAGAGGGTTTGTTTGTTTGCATTTATGCACAAAGCTACAAAATGGGCTATCTGTGCTCTGCCCACCACGGGTATCGAAACCAGGTTTCTAGCGTTGCAAGTCCGCAG